AATTGAAACAATAAACCGGAATGAGCAAAAAAAAAAAAAACAATAAAAATCAAATGAAAAAAAAAAACAACAAATAATAATAAAAAAAAAAAAAAACATCGAAATAAGCACAAAAATATTTAAATTATTTCAAGCGCTTTATTATCATGCTGAGCGGCCTGGCCTGTGCCTGCGAGACAGACATAGAGAGAGAGAGAGAGGGAGTGATCAAAAGGGTGTGAGTGAGAAGACTTAATAACACTCCAAAACACGCCGCGGGAAACACAGACCACACACAAACACATTTAGGGTCCAGCGCGGGGGCTGACTGGGCCAGTGAAAGGGGTACAAAAGAAAGAGAAAGAGATGGGGCGAGAGAGAGAAAGAGAGAGAGCGAATAGTTATGTATATAGACATATTTTGTAGGTGACAAAGTTATTATAGTCGGCTCAGAACAACGAAGTGCGGCTATCAGAATCAGATAAGCGCGCTACGAAGTGTCAAGCAGTCAATTTACGTACCCAAAACAAAGCGACAACCGACAAACGAGCCACACGTGAAACAGGTTCAATTCGGACCACCACGATCCCAACTCGATCAGGTATCATAGGCGAAGCGCTGGCCTGCCGCTGACTTCCCAGTACACATAAAAACGAATCAAGACAGGCAATAGGCATCGAGCGATCTAAATTGAGGCCCGGAGCGAGCCGCAGATTGAGAATATTGGGACTGCGTCCGTGATTGGGGGCTCCGCGACAGGGCGCCCTCTAATGAGGCGCGTTGCCTCGACAAATTTATTGCTAATTGTAGAGCGAGGCCCACTAAACGTTTGCCGCATAAATCTAAGCGTCGAGCTCCCACGTCTGCGTGGATCACAGACGATACGCGACGAGACGCCTTGGAGTCTCTGTCTCTCTTTCCCTCCCTCACTCTCTCTCTCTCTCTCTCGCTCTCTCTTTCACACTGTTGATCTGTTGATGAGTCACAACGCCGGCGCTTTAAGTGCCAATAATATTGTTAGCTGGCGCTCGGATTACGATGTGGTACTTGATTCTCTTAACTGGGCTGACACTAACGGTACCTGCCTGCCGTCTGCTCTGACCATTTAATGTCACGCCCCGAAGAGTTATGCATGCCATGACAAGCATAAACCCAACAAGCATTTCATTTGATTGTCTCGGAACCCACGCAACGCACAACGATATCATAAACCAAGTTCAGACCATTTCATAGGAATCGTTTAGTCGACTTATTTAGATTGAAGCGCTGCACAAAGCTTGGCCAATAAATAATAGCTTAAAGTGATGCCAAAGCGGCAATAAGATAAAACTCAAGTGTATTTCGTTCAGTTTAGAAATTTTTAAGTTAAAGTACTTCAGCTTAAAGTACCTTCAGTTAAGAGGTATGATAGCCCGCATTCAAAGTGTGCTTAGAGTAAAACTCTTTCGTTTGCTTTCAGCATTATTTAACATTATTTTAAATTAATGATGAGCCGAAGAGTGAATAAAACACAAAAAGAATGAAAGCATCTAATAGCTGTTAAGTACGTAGAAAATAAAATTAGATTAGAAGAAGTCTTACGTAATAATTACATAATTGTTAGATGAAAGTTTTGAAGTATCAAAAAAAATAAAAATAAATAAGAAAAGTATTTGTAAGTAAATCATAAGTATTATTCTACTTCTGTTCCAATTTTTGATAAGGTTTATAAAACATTTATGCATATTAAAAAGATTAATGATCGAGTTCAATATGAGCTGACATTAATAGTGGAATTGATTTGGAATCCAGAATTATGTTGATATGACATATACAAGTTTAATACATACATATAAAATATAAAAATTATATATAATTATATATATAAATATTAAAAAAATCCAAAATTCAGTTAAAATTCGAATATTATAATTAGCGCTATCAGCATTAAAAATATTGCAGTTGGATTGTTTATATTATTAATATTTTAAAGATTGCATTGAGTTATTGCAGTTTAAGGCTGTTGGTAATCTATTATATTAAGAATATATATTTACCTACTACGTAAATACATATAAATTTTATTTATTTTATCATTGTATGTGCATAAAAAAAATGATTTAAATTTGATATGAATAATGAATAATTAATTACATATGTATCTAACAATGATTCAAAAGGTATATAAATAGTTAGTATGATCCAAGAGTATAACTTTTTGCATAAGACTAATTGGTAAGAATACAATTTTTCTCAGAATTAAACCTTGGAAGATAAAGCTAATCGGTCTTTAAGAGCTATCAGCTATATGTGCTAGTGCTTGCGGTGCCTACTCTTAATCGACTTTCCACTCGTCTTATCTTATCTGAATAGTGAATTTGAATAGGATTAGGATTAGCTTCGAATGAACACATGTTGAATCTCCTTTGCAGAAATGGCTACACTTTCAAGGCGCACTACCAACAACTCTCACAAACAGAGCCACATCTGCATCCGCATCCGCATCCACAGCTACAGCAGCAGCATCATCAGAGTCAACAGAGCCACTTGCAGGCAGCATCCAGCGGGATGTCGACGCACAACAGCAACGCCAACACCAACAGCAGCACCAACAACAACAACAACAACAATGTCAGCAAGAGTAAACGAGATTGGGACATCAATGATGCGATCGTGCCGCAGGTGGCCGACATGGAGTTCGATGAGTTCAGCGAGTGGAGCGACGGTCATGTGCGGCTGGTCTACTCGGTGCACAACGAGGAGGCCAAGAAGCACATCTCCGGCTGGGCCATGCGCAACACCAACAATCACAATGTGAACATCTTGAAGAAGAGCTGCCTGGGCGTGCTCGTCTGCTCCCAGCACTGCACATTGCCCAACGGCAGCAAGATCAATCTGCGGCCGGCGATATGCGATAAGGCGCGACGCAAACAGGAGGGCAAGGCGTGCCCCAACAAGAGCTGCCGCGGCGGCCGGCTGGAGATCAAGCCCTGTCGCGGCCACTGCGGCTATCCGGTCACACATTTCTGGCGGCATTCCGGCAATGCCATCTTCTTTCAGGCCAAGGGCGTGCACGATCATCTGCGACCCGATCCCAAGAACTCGAGCGTCTCGAAGCGAGCCTTCGGACGGGTCGCCCTCACGGCCGGCAAGAGCAGCTCCAGCCTGGCGGGCAGTAGGTCGAGCAGCGTGCCCAAGAAGTCGGTCATAGCGGGCCTCGTGAAGCAGGTGAAGGTGAGCTCTTTTCCTTGTTAGTGATCTCTTCCAAAGTCACATTCAAACTCTCTCTCTCTCTCTCTCTCTCTCGTGCCAGCAGCAACAGAATCTCATGAGCAAAGTGCTCAAGCGCTCCACAGGCAGCCAGCCTCTGGGCCCCTCAGCTCTGGAGATATATCAATTCAATGGTGAGTCAATTGGAGTCTATTAATGCCTTCGCTAACTCATCTCATACCCCGAACCTTCTAGCCTGCGGCAAATGCACCACGTATAGCCACTGCACGTGCAGCTATTTGGAGGACAGCACGCGCGCCCATCAGCTGAGTCAATCCACCAACTATATGAGCAGCTCCTGGCCGCTGGCCAATGTCGCCAGTGAAGCAGCCAATTGTGAATCCTCGGCGAATGTGTTCACGGTGAATCATCAGCATATTACCTACAATTATCCCATATACCATGCCACGCCCACGGCTGCCACAGCTGCGCCCAGCAAATCGCCCAGTCTGCCCTACACGTGCATCTCGGAGCTGGCCTACCAGCCGCCCAATCACCCACAGTCCACTCCGTCTGGCTTCGCTAGCAACGCCCACGGCAACGGCAGCTGTCAGCTGGGATACGAGTCGAGTCCACAGCTGGCTACGCCGGAGCCGGAGTTCATCAACTACTCGCAGATCAAGCACCTCGAGCTGGGCTGCAAGAGCGAAACGACGCCCACCATCAAGTACAATGCGACCGTGGACACACAGCCGGTGGCGAGCTATACGGATGATAACTACGATTACTACTACCAGCGTGAGTCAAGCAAGTCCGACTACGAGCTGCAGCATCAGCAGCAACAGCAGCAGCAGCAGCAACACCACCAGCAGCAGCAGCATTACGGCAACATTCCCAGTGGACACGCTCACTACTACGAGAGCGCCAATAGCTATAGCGGCGTCAGCTACTTTGATACTGGCACTACGGCGCCAGGTGGCGCCATTAACAGCGGCAGCGGCTGCGGCAGCAGCAGCGGCTTGAACCCGAGTCTTGAGCACGGCTCGAGCTACGGCAGCTACTACGATCATTATGCCAACTATGAGCAACAGATGGCGGTAGCAGCGAATGGCTTTGCTGCCGCCGGCGGCTCTGCTGCAGCTGCTGCTGCTGCCGCTGCCGCTGCTGCGGCATCAGCTGTCACAGCTGCGGCGCCACCTGCGCCCACGCTCACCTACCATCATCATCATCACCATCATTTGCATCATTCGCCGCAACACGCCCCTCCACAAGCAGCCGCCCATGCGGCCCATTGATTAGTACTTAAAAAGGCGCCACATTACTCATAGCTTATACGTTTAAGATTTGAAATCGATAAATATATACATATATATATATTGTATATCTATATAAATAGTATTGTGTAGTTGTTTTCTTATTTTGGCAAAAATAAATTATTAAGAAATGTTGATTTGTAAGTGTGTGTGATCATTATGTAAAGCTGTA